AGAAGCTTCGTTCCCGGACTCCGGCCGCCGCCCGCCTCCGCCGGGTCTCCGCCTGGTGTAGTCGTGGCAGTGCAAGCCTCAACTGCCTCACTGCGCAGGCGCGGAAATAATTCTCAACACCCTCCTACCTTAACCCATCTATTGGCTGCTCTAGCCGCGAACTAACAATCCATTGTCCAATCCAAGAGCGCCTCGAGTTGCTCCGCCTACTGCCCCCCGGAAGTTGACTACCGCCGAATCTGCAGCGGCTAGGGCGCATCAGTAGCCAATTGGGAGAGGGGAGGAGGGAGCCGGCGCCGCCGGGGAGCCAATAGCAGGCAGCGGAGGATGACGCTACGGACATGGCGGCTGCGGTCGGCCAGCCAGGGGACGTGTCGAGCTGCTCCGTAACCTCGGCCGGTGCTCAGGGAGCGGAACAGCAGCCTCATTAGTATTCGTACCCACGAGGCGGCGCAGCGGGCCTTCGGGGAGAGCGAGCGTCGCGGCCATGGCTTATCATTCGGGCTACGGAGCCCATGGTGCGTGAGGCGTGGGGTGGGCGGGGCGCGGTCCGACGGGCCGATGGAGGGTCGGCTGCGCAGCCCGCTCACCCTATGGGAGGGTGGCAGCCGTTCCCGCTGCCCGGGCGGCGGATGTCATTCGGGTTCTTGCCCCACGCGACTGTGCAACGCGTCCCGGACTTCGCCCTCTCTGCCCAATCATCGGGCGATGACAGCACAGCTGGGATCCCCATGCCCGACCCGAGCACGAACAGGGTCTGCCTCCAGAACTTCCTTTCCTTGTCATAGCCCTGGCAGGGTCCCTGACCACTGCCCACGGCCTCTGGGTACCCAGCCGTCGCCTTTCCCACCCTTGTTCATGCAGGGATGCCCTCTCAGTTATCTTCTCCACCTAGCAAACTTCTACTCGCTCTCCAAGGCTCAGTTCAGAGATCACTTCCCTTGAGAAGGCCCCCAGGAGCCCCAGCTGGGCAACCACTTTCCAGGTGCTGCCTCGGCTCTCTCTTTGCCTACATTTAGCACCTCTCGAGAAGGATCTTTCACCAAAGTTCTTTCTGGGTTAGCTACCCCGCATCCGGCCAGGGTTTCCCCCTTTGGTGCCTGCGGGACCCATGCAGGGCTACCCACCCTGGGGAGGGAGCGGTGGTTTGGGCTCATGCTTAGTATTCCTGTCACCTACTCTGATACCTACAAACCCACAGGCTCCAAGCACAGGGCTCGCACAGCTCCGGATCCCCCTCCCCTCTTCGATGACACCAGCGGTGGTTACTCCAGCCAACCAGGGGGATACCCAGCCCCAGGAGCCGATGTGGCCTTCAATGTCAACCACTTGCTTGGGGACCCAATGGCCAACGTGGCTATGGCCTATGGCAGCTCCATCGCATCCCATGGGAAGGACATGGTGCACAAGGAGGTGTGGCCTGCCCCCTGGGCAAGGGTGGCAGGATTTCTGGCCAGGGCTGGGCATCATGGGATCCCACCTAATGCTCACAGCAGCCCTCAGGGAAGGAGCACACAGAGAAGCACCCAGAGGTTTGGGGTGCAGCTTGCCCACAGCCTCCTTTCTCCCCTCCCAGCTGCACCGTTTTGTGTCTGTGAACAAACTGAAGTATTTTTTTGCTGTGGACACAGCCTATGTGGCGAAGAAGCTAGGGCTACTGGTCTTCCCCTACACACACCAGGTGAGCTGGCAGGCTCCCCTGCCTCCCCCATGCTGCCCCAGAGTCTGGCCCCAGACCTCAACCTCCTTCTTTCCTCTCTTGTCTTTTCCTCCCGGCCTGGCCGCTGCTGCCACTGCCAGAACTGGGAAGTGCAGTACAGTCGTGATGCGCCTCTGCCCCCGCGGCGAGACCTCAACGCCCCAGACCTCTATATCCCTAGTGAGTCTCTGACCTGGGCTGGGGGACGTGTGGGCACTTGTGCCTTGAGGCACCAATGAGAAGAGAGAGGCTTGTGCGTTGATTCAGCACCTGCTCTTGGTGCTTGTGTACGTGGTGGTCGCTAGACACCAGGTGGATGGAGCAGGGTGACGAGGGAGGAGCCTCCCGGAGGTGCCTTCAGTGCCCTTAGGGTACCCCACTTGGAGACCTTTCTGCCTCTTGACTTGGACCGTGTCCCTCCCTGCCTGGAGCCCTGAGTTTAGACCTGGCCCTGCAGCTCCCAGCTGTGGGACCTCAGGCCGGCTGCTTCACTCTTCTGTAAAAGGCGATAACGAGAGTCCCTCCCTGCCTCAGCGGAGAGTTGTGGAGATTTGGTGAGGGGATGTGCGCTCAGCACTGGCCCGCAGGAAGCACACCGAAAATACCAGCTCTTATCATTGTTCCTGCCCAGCCCCCAAGGCCTGCTCCTACATCCCCTCCCCTGGGGATCTGCTCACTCCTTCTGGGTTCCCACGACTGCCCATCCACATGGCACTGGGCAGGCTGCCCACACTGTGCTGTGGCTGGCAGACTCTGCATCGGACTCCTCTTTGTCCTGGGGCCTGCACAAGGTGAGGCCGTGGTGGACACCCTGGAGGATGTGAGTGTGTCAGGGCCAGCCCTCAGAGGAGTACCAGGACGGTGGCCACTGGGAGTGAGGGCAGCCAGCCAGCCCAGTTGCCCAGGAGGGCCACAGGTTCTTCCTCCATCTTTCACTCCGTTTTCTCTCACAACCACCATGTAAGGCGGGCACTGCCAGCTCCATTTTATATTGAAGCCAAGGCTCAGAGAGACTTGAGTATCTTTGAGGCCACGCAGCTTAGGTGGTAGAGCTGGTTTCCTGACTCCAGACACTGTGCCCTCGGGCGGGCGCATCCGTTCTGGTGCTTCAGGGGGGCAGAGGACAGGACTGACGAGTTAAAATTGCTGTGAAAGCCCAGCTCCCTCTGGCTCCGAGCTTTTGTGCAAACAATGGAGTTAAACGTGGAGCTCTCTGCATTGGCAGAGCGGCCGGAGCCAGAGCCAGTGCCAATGCCCAGACTCAGAATTTCTGGCTGAGGCAAGGTCATCCCCACGGCCCAGGTTCCAGTGACAGCCTCGCTGTCCCCTGAGCCTGCATTTTGGTCCTTCCTGTATTGTGCATTTTGGGGCCTGAGAGCAATTTGGCCCCTGCCTGTTGGTCTAGGAAGAGCAATGGCCTTGGCCGGTGCTGTGGTTTCTGAGACACAGCAGGAAACTTAGGTGAGCTTCCTAGCACAGGGACAGGGAAGGAGGTGGCATGGTGGTCCTGAGAGAAGGGTCAGGTGGCATTTACACAGGGAGAGGGCTGAGTGGGAAAGGCATCCCAGGCAGGGCACTGGGGAGCTGAGAGTGGAGGTCGGCCATGTTGGGGTACACAGGGAAGGAGGTATGGGGGGAAGGTAGGGGGTGTCGGTGGCCTCAAATGCTTAGTGGGGGTGGGGGGGTCTTGGTTCAGGAAACCAGGCTGATGGCATATCTCTGCCTCTTGGCAGCAATGGCCTTCATCACCTACGTGTTGCTGGCTGGGATAGCACTGGGCATTCAGAAAAGGTCAGTGCCAACCCCCTCCCCGTTCCCACCACCTCCCCGCTCCTCACCTCCTGAGGGGATCTGTGCCAGGTCCCCAGCCTACCCCGTGCCCCTAGTCTCATCCCTGCCACAGGATGACTGGTTCTGAACTCCCCCCATCCCACCCCGACATGGCCATAGGTTTTCCCCAGAGGTGCTGGGCCTGTGTGCCAGCACGGCGCTGGTGTGGGTCGTGATGGAGGTGCTAGCCCTGCTCCTGGGCATCTACCTGGCCACCGTGCGCAGTGACCTGAGCACCTTCCACCTGCTGGCCTACAGCGGCTACAAATACGTGGGGTGAGCACCTGTGGGCTAGACGGGAGGCTGGCCTGGGGGAGGGGCCTGCATAGCTGTAGCCTTGAATTGTGACCCTGGGCAGCCCTCTGCCCCTCTCTTGGCCCTCTTTATTAGAGGGACTGGCTGTGTCCAACAGTCTCCTCAGGAACTGTGCAGTGTTGTTCAGGAGGTCAGGGATGTATTCAGACTCGCCTGGGAGCACAGCAGAGAAGGGCCTTGAGCTGGGGCAGTGAAGGGAGTCTCAGGTGCAGGTCCAGGGACTGAGTCCTGGGCCTTCTAGATTCATTTTGAGTTTAGGTCCCTGTGGGTGCAGACTGGGGGTAAAGGGCCCTGGTGGTGGTGGGTGGGGTGTAGGCTGGACTCTGGGCTGTGGCAGGTGGGCCACCTTGAGGGCTCTAGCCTCTCTTCCTCCTCCCCGCCCGCCCCCCCACAGGATGATCCTCAGTGTACTCACAGGGCTGCTGTTCGGCAGCGATGGCTATTACGTGGCATTGGCCTGGACTTCGTCTGCGCTCATGTACTTCCTTGTGAGTCTGGGCTGTCCCCTCCCCCTCTTCCCCTGGGGTTGGAGCCTCCCCTCTGGCGCAGCTTCAGCTCTCTCCTTTCTTCCAGGTACGCTCTTTGCGAACAGCAGCCCTAGGTCCCGACAGCATGGGGGGCTCAGCCCCCCGGCAGCGTCTCCAGCTCTACCTGACTCTGGGAGCTGCAGCCTTCCAGCCCCTCATCATATACTGGCTGACCTTCCACCTGGTCCGGTGACCCCTGGCCCCCACTGGCACTGATTTTTGCATACATTGAAGATTTGATGTCCTTGGTTTCATTTGACCCTTGTTTCTGAGGCCTGAGGGGAATTGCTGACACCCCCTTCTTGTCCAGGTGACCCGGCTCAGGACTATCTATAAGGAGGGAGACCCAGGGAGGGCTTCCTGGGGTTGGTGACCTTGATACTGCCTTGGAAGGCAGATGGAAGTGTTTCAGCAGGAATAGCTGTTTATCTGTGGTCGGGAAAGTGAGGATGGAAGGGGGCAGCTGCCAAGGAGACCTTGAAGGCCTCTGATCCATCTGAGGGGGTCCCTGGAGGGGTCTGTGGGCCAGTGGGGCAAGCCTGGCTGTGCTGCCCAGGGCTCAGAGGTGCCCCCTATCCAGTCCCTTTGCCTCCCTCATCTCCAAGCCTTTCAGGAGCAGAACTGGGGCCCACATGTTTGCAGTCGTTTATTCATATTTTGTCACAAATGGCCGGGGAGGGGGTGCCGGACTCCTCCAGGCGACATAGAAAATAGGTCCAAGAGACAGGGTAGGCTTGGCTTGGGGCAAGTGGGGACAGGAGGGGGTCTGGAGAAAGAGCCTGGGGGAGGGGAGAGGGCAGACTAGGGGTGGGGGTCTAGTCTGGGCCCCCCTGCTGAGCCTGCTCATTCCGGGTGCGGGTACCCCCCCACCTGCAGGGGGAGCCTCAGGGTGGGGGTGGAGAGGGGCGGCCCAGAACTTCCAGGGTCAAGCCCTGCCCCTTGGCAGGGCCCAAATTGCCCCCGAAGTGGACAAGGCCAGAGGTCCCACCCCTTCCAGGACTGACTGCCATGCCCAGAGGCTGGCAGAGGAGCCCCTGCCCCTATTTAGAGCTCTGCCCAGCCCTAGTCCAAGGGGAGGGGGCTCTGAAGGCGGGAGGTCCCCGCAGCAGCAGTTTGGGGGGTGGAGAGGAGGCTGGGGGCACCAGTGCCCCCTCCCTCCCCAGGGCTGAGGCCTCTGTGGCCGAGGGGCAGGGCTGGGGGTGCACAGGCGTCCGGTCCGTTCTGGGCTCGCTCCCTGGCCGGCTTCCCCCTTAGAAACTCACCAACGTATAAACCATACTGTGGGAAGATGAGGCAGTGAGCCGAGTCCTGAGGAGGCCCAGCCACTGGCCACCCACCCTATCACACCCTGGGTTGCCCTCAGTTCTCAAGGGCAAAGGCAGGAATTTGGGGCCCAAGGATTCCTGGGATTGGAGGCATGGTGCCTGGAGCATCCCTTTTCTGATATATGACTGCTGTGGGCAAGGCCTCACCTGTACAGGTAATAGAAGAAGGAGAGCAGGTAGAAGGCGAGTTTGCACCAGGACTCCTTCTGGCAGTAGTTGAGGATGTCAGCATTCATGATGGAGACCGCATCATACATGACCTCAGAGCCATCCGCAGGGCGGTGGAAGTACCTAGGTGAGGGAGGGGCCTGAGTGCCCACCATCAAGGCTCCCACCCCATCCTGCCCCTGCCCCCTCATGTGGCCCTCCCTGGCCAGCTGCTCCCCTCACCTCCAGAGGTGGTAGAAGAGAAGGGGGATGTTGAGGCCCAGGGTCACCCACTCTGCTGCACACAGAAACATCAGACAGAAGAGGCCGTGGATGGAGTATTCTGGGACCACCAGCTGGGGAGTGAAGGAGAGAGGTCAGTGGCCTGGTGCCCAGACAGACCCAAGCAAGTTTCAAGGGCACATAGGGGAGCTGGGGTTTGGGAGGTGTCCACCCACGGAGACCTCTGGGGACTAAAAGGGCCTCTAGCTTCCCACTCCCTCCCAGGCGGCAGAGTGGATCAAATGTCCCAGAGAAGGCCTGGCTCTGAGTCACAGAGAGTGAGGCTAAGCTGGGCTAGGAGCCTCCTGCCCCCAGTCCTGACACTGACCTTCCTCAGGAGGCAGCAGATGCGTTCGATGTTTTTTAAACGCTCGCGCTGTAGGGGAAGGAAAAAGCCGCGATGGGGGAGGCGGAGGAGCAGGCATTGGAGGCGCCCCACCACCCTCCTGCGCCCTCTACCGCTCTGTACGTGGCCGCCAGGGGGCGCCAGAGCAGTGTCTGCGGTGTCGGCGCGGCAGGAAAGCAGCCGCGCCGTTCCCATGGCGACCGTCACCATGGAGGGACCTTCACCCGCGTCTCCACGGCAACGGCCCAGAGCCTGGCAACAGCCGCCCCGCCAGGAGGAACCCGAGCCCTGAGCCCGCGCCAGGTGTTTGCTGGGGGCGGGAACAGACAGAGAAAGGGGCACGGCCGCTGGCCCCCCAACCCTGTCTTCCCGTCCCTACCCCCCTTCGCGACAGATGGAAAGACAGACGGACGGACACACCTCGGCACAGCACATGTATCACTTACTGCCCGCGCTGGGTTCCCCTGGTCAATGGGGTTCTTGAAGTCGGTCCGCAGCTCGTCAAAGGCTATGATCTGGGGGAAGGGCGTGTGCCTGTCAGGGTTGGGGCAGCAGCTTATGGCCCCCCCTACCCGTCCTTCTGTGTGATAGGAATTCATACATGGGGACCGGGCCAGGTGAATCTTGCTGCAAAAGTGGAGAAACTGAGGCCCAGGGAGGGACAAGGCCTGGGTCAAGGTCACCCAACAGTCTGGAATGGAACCCTAGTGTGCTGATGCCCAATTCAGGCCATGTCCACTGCACCTCCATCCAACACATCCCAAGAGATGGTGTCTTCTGTGCCAGGTCCTGAGCTGAGCCCTGGAGCACACAGGCACACAGCCCCTGCCCGGATAGGAACCTCATGCTTGGGAGGGGAACCGTGAACCGCATCCCAGGGTGGTCAGGGCGGTGAGATAGAGGTACAGGGAGAGCCTGGGGTAGGTGCCTGATCCAGCATGGGGGGTCATGGGGGGTGCAGGCTGGACTCTGAGTAGGCGTTTGGTGAACAAAAGGGGGAAGGGCAGTCGGAGCAGCAGGTACAAAGGCAGAGTTTGAAAGAACAAGGGACATTCAGGAAGCTGCAGGTTCCTCAGGGCTAGAGTGAAAGTGTGAGGTGAGGGGCAAGAGAGAAGGGAATGGTGAAAGGTGAGCTGCCAAGGTCTGCAGAGCCAGACATGGGGGCCCTGTGAGGCCAGACCAGATGTTTGGACTTTAACACAAAAGTAATGGGGAGCCATTGAGGGATATAAAGCTGCAGAGTGGGGTGGTCAGGTTGATGGAGCAGGAAGTACAAACTGGCTAATAGTCCCAGCCAAAACATACATGATGCTTGCTCTATGCCAGCAGGCTTTATATATTTATTAACTCATTTAATGCTTGCAACAACCTGATGACGTAGATACTAGTATTATCATTTCCGTTTTGCAGATGAGGAAACTGAGACAGACAGGTGAAGTGACTTGTCCAAGCCCATAACAGCTAGTTAGTGGCAAGCCAGGATTCTAACCCAGTTAGACCCCAGAGTCAAAATCCTTAACCACTTTATCATATTCAGGCCAGACCAGTGAGGGGACCGCTGGAGTATTGTGGAGGAGGAGGGGTTGACGGTGATCTGAGTGAGGAGAGGGGCTGTGGCGATGCAGAGGTGTAGAGGAATTCCAGAGCTATTTAGAAGCCAAGTTGCAGAAGGCTTAAGTGGTGACGGAGTCGAGGCAGAGGGGCCCAACGTGCCTTCATCTGGTGGACGGCAATGTCTTCACTGGGATGGGGAAATCTCGGGGGGAGCAGGTGTTTGAGGGGATGATGGGACGGACCTGGGGGGAGGTGGGGCATGGGAAGAGGGCTGCCAAAGGAGCCTTCCTGGGTCCCCTCTCCTCAGCACTAGCCCTGGGATGAGGCAGCAGGCCCACCACCCCCAAGCATCCTGGACCCCAGACGGCTCAGAGGGAGAGAACATGGGCTTCCTGGAGGGAGCTGGGGCCATCTGGAGCAGCCCCCCCAACTCCCCGTTGACTCTGGGCAGCCGCCTGCCTGCCAGGCACAGCAACAGGGTCCAGCAGGGAGCGGAAGGGTGCCGTCTGTCTGCCCTAGAGCTGGCACCACCAGCAGGTGGCGGGTGTCTCGCCTCCCACCCCCCAGGCTGCCTGGCGCTGACTCAGCCCCCTGGAACAAACAATCCCCCATGGTGACAGCTGACACGCGTCACTCACCACCAGGGTTGCCTAGCGACCAGTGGGGCCCGGGCTTGGGGTCTGTGGTGGGATCTGGGGTACTGCCCTGGAAGGTTCTAGGTCTTACCAATTTGGATTGAGGAGCACACCTCCTGGCCCCAGCCCCAGCCCTTAGCAGGCCTGCTGTGGGTACTCTGATGTAGGTACAAGCCCACTTTAGCAGTGAGGAAACAGACTCGGGACGAGAGAGACCGGCTAAGACCACCCAGCTAAACAGCTGAGCGCGCACAGTGCCTGACTCGTAGTAGGTGCTTGATAAATACTTGTCGAGAAAGCTGAGGCCCTTTCTCCCAGCCCGGGAGCCCCCAAGGGCAAAGCCTGAGTCTCATTCATCCTCGGGTCCCCCAAAGCCGCCCAGAGCCTGGTTCTCAGGAAGCGTGGATGCAGGTGTGTGGACGAGGACTGTTCTGAGATTCTCTAAGGACAGGGACCCCCAAAGCGGCTGTGGGGGGCCCCTGGGTAGGGAGGGGCCTGGAAAGGTGCTTCTGGAATTCCAGGAGTCTTTCTCCCAGGAGCTGGTGAGCTCTGCGTTCCCAGCCTGTGACTCTCAATTCCTTCCAGTCCTCAGAACCCAGCCCCCCTACCCCCACCCTACAGGATCGGCCAAGGCCTGGGGATGAGATAGGAGGCTCAGAGAGGTCAAGATGGACCCAGCGGGGATGGAGAGAGGGAAAGAGAAACAGAGAAAGGGGGCGAGAAAAGAAAAAGCAACTGAGAGACCCACAGAGAGAGAGAGGCAAAGCCAGGGAGAGAGAGGGCTAGAGATTGGGGGGGGGGGGGGCGGGTTGTGTTTGAAGGTGCCTGTGGGGCCTCACTCCTCACAGAAGGGGCACAGAGTCCATGGAATCCTGATGTAAAAGAGACAGGCAGCAGGGGAGCAGCAGGGTATGGCAGACGGAGAGACTGGTCAAGAGCTGGGGAGGCCCCGGAGCATGCAGGCAGCAGGTCCCAGGAAAAGAAAGGAGAGAGGAAGTGGGGAAGCCAGGAAAGAAGCAGGTGCGGCAACAGGGAGGAAGTGAGAGCAAGAAAGGATGGAGGTACCAAGGGAGAAACTGCAGGGGGGTAAGGGGACCCCCCAGAGGGATGAAGATAAGGGAGGTGTGTGCTGGACTTGGGAGCGGAGGATGCTGAGCTGAGGGGGCCAGGGCTGAGACAGGCAGGCCGCATGGAGGGGATCGGGGCGGGGGGACAGAGGAGGAGGCAGGGCAGTAAGGGGCCCAAACAATAAGCCTGAGGCTGGTGGACAGTTCTGTAATGAGAGGAAGGGAACCGGGCAGGGGTATCACTGAACAGAGGGCCCCAGAGAGAGAAGGGGGAGAGGGACCCTCTCTAAGGAGAGGTGATCGAGATGTGGGATGAGAAACGGACATTCTGAAGGACCAGGTGCGAGTCTAGACGAGAGTGAGAGACAGACTAAGGGGACAGGAGACAAAGGGGAAAGTGGCGACAGGAAGAGGAAAAGTGGGGAGGAAACCTGGTGGGGGGAAGCTCGGACGCGAGTGGGTAGGGGACCCAAGGCGAGCTGGGTGGGGGCTAGGTCTCTGGGGCCGCTTAGAGCCAACTGCTGCTGGGTCAGGGAGGGGGGTAGGAAGGGAAAGGGTTAATGGGCTCTGCGATCTGCGGGTCTTGTAAACAGATGCAGTTGCCATAGCAACCCGCTCCATCACTCTGGCTGGAAAAACCCACAAAGTGGGGGGGGGGGGGCAGACAGACAAACCGCCCGACGGACAAACGGGGGCGACTGGATGGTGGGGGTAGGAAAAGGGAAGCAGCAGGAATCCCAGAATTCCGCCCCACACCCCGAGGCTGCATGGGGCAAGGGAGGTGGGCCAGGGACCGACTGACATACCCACAGACAGGCGGGGGCGGCGGAGGGAGGGGGCCCGGGGAGGCAGCCTACGATGGGGGCTGTTAACAGGGGCGAACAGAGGCCGCACGACGGGGGATAGCGGAGAGGAGGCCCCAAGTTTCCCCGCGCCCTGAGACCATCCGCCCGGCCCCCTCCCGCTCCGTGCAGCCCCTGCCCCCTACCCCGCCCCCAGCCCCAGCCCCAGCCCGGCCTTACGTGCCAGATGACAAAGAAGATGAGGGAGGCGCACAGCACCAGGGTGAGCATGTAGCAGAACGCGGCGAAGGTGAACGCCATGGCCCCCGCGCCGGGCGGCGGCCCGGGGGGCGCCAGCGCGGGGCCCGGGCGCAAGGGGACGCCCCCCGGCCCGCGCTCAGGGCCGGCCGGGCATGGCCCGCAGGGCTCGGGCGCGGGCTCGGGGGACGCGGGCGGCGCGGCCGGGACCGGGGCCGCGGGGCCGTGGGGCGCGCG